AGTCCAGGCCCTTAACCCCCATGCCCCCTGCCAGCCCCAAAATGTCAGTTTTAAAACACACTTTATGAGTCAGTAAAAGGAAGAACCAGTGGTAATCCCAAGTGATAAAATTTTTGTCAACTTAGGGGCCAGCAGGTGGCATAGTGGTTAAGGCACTAGACTTACAGATGGCTGACCTGGTGGCTTTGAATATCATGCCAGCGATGTGTGTGTAGGTGCCCAAAATCCAAGAAAGTTAATGAAAGTGAAAAGATGAGTGGCCATTCTCTCTGCCTGTTATTTCTCTTTCCCTGTCAACTGTCTCTCTCTGGCAAGCACACATGCTCGATGATAAAAACCTTAAAAAAAATTTTAAAAACTTTGTCAGGGCTGGCAGGTGGCATGGTGGTTAAGGTGCCTGGACTCCCACATGGCTAACATGGTTTGAGTCCTAGACCTGGACCTGGCAGTTTGCTTTCTAACCTTCCTTCTCTCTCACTGTCTCTCTCTAGTCAGCCTCAAAAAAAAAATAAAATAAAATAAAAATAAATATAAAATAATGATAATGAATAAAATTAAATAAAAAATAATTCTTTAAAAACATAAAACTTTGTTGAGACCAGCAGTTAGCGTAATGGCTATGTTGCTGGACTCCCACGTAGTCGACCGCGGTTCGAGTCCCAGACCCGGTGGCTTAAACTCACGCCAGGTACGTGTGCGTGCTTGCCCAAGATCCTGAGAGAATGGAGGAGAAGGGACTGTGGCGTGGCCATCTCCCCTGGGGGGCGACTTCTTGCTTTCTATCTCACTGTCTCTCTCTGTCTGTCTGGCGAGCGCATGCGCCCTATAGCAAAAACCTCTTCAAAAATAAAAAAATAAAAAAATAAAATAAAACTGTGTCAACTTTAACACTTTACAAGAAACACAACTTCTCAAGGCTTCTAGAAGAAAATACAATAGCTATGTAAAAACTTAACTGAGCAAAACAGAAACTGAAAGCAAAAATGTCTACAGCCATGACTGTACAATTTAATACCAGTTAGCATTTCTAAATGAAATGCCTTCTTTTTTTTTAATAAACACAACCTCACCACCTTAATTTTAGAAAACATTACATTAGGCCTTTAACACACACTAAAGTTAACCTGCTTTAAAATCTGTTTGTTTGCTACAGGGCGCTGGCTGGCGCTCTCCAGAGTCAAGAGAGAGAAAGTAAGCAAGCGCCCTTCCAGAAGGAAGGCCACACTGCAATCTCTTCTCCTTCCATCTCCTCTCCAGATTTTGGGCATAGGCATACCTACCAGGTCCAGGACTGGAACCATGCAGTCAGCCATGTGGATCCAGCTGCCTTAACCACCATGCCACTGACTGGCCCCACTTTATAAACTTTTTAAAAAAGTCAAAAAAACCGAGGTCAAGTGGAATCAGCATAATAAAACATCTCTTGAGAATCATTCAAAACTCCAGTTCCTATAAAATCAGACACCAGACAATAAACCTGGATATAGCTGAGACTGACTTCGCGCTTTTTCAAAAACTAGACATCTTAACATGTCCTACTACAAACCCAGTAGTCTCCAGCTGCTTTAGGTAGCACGTTTAACTTTTTTTTTTTTTTTTTTTTTTTTAACACTAAAAAACTTGCTTCCCTGGCGGAAAACACCAATTTTTGGTTAGCGTGTTTATTTTTTTTTTTTTTTTTTTTTTTTTTAACAACAAAGACTGTCATTCCCTGCGCGAAAAGACGAACGGGGGTGTGAAGTGACCTGGGCCTTTTCTGGGTTAAAGGTCGGCGTCCCGCCCCTCAGCCTTTCTCCCCAAGTCTCACTTCCGCACCGAGTTAGGACCCCGCGGTGTCTCGGCGATAGTACGGTGCGCCGATCTACCCAAATCCAGTTTGGGGAATTGGGGTGGGAGTCTGGGAGAGTAAGAGATCCTAGGCCCGGCCAGACTCGGGTACCTGGGGAGTCCCATGACAAGGCAGAACGCAGGCCGCAGTCCGGCTGCAGGCCTACCCACCCACAGTGCCGATCCAGCTTCCCCGCAACACAGACCTGTCGTACTCAGACCGGGTGAGAAACATGGCGAAGACAGGAGAAGGCGGCGGTGGAGGCGGCTACGCGGGGTTTCCGGAGGGCCAACACGACTCCACTACACAGAACTCACACCGCCACACACCGAGGCCCGTTCTCTCAACTGCGCGTGCGCTCACGACCTTTTTGGCCCGCCCCCATGCCCGTCTCCTATTGGCTAGTGGTAGTTCCCGCCAAGGCGATTGGGCCAACGCGCTGCCCCGCCTGGTCTTGGTTGGTCCGAAGAGGCGGGACAAGAGGCGTTCTTCCGCTTTAAATCGCGGCGGTTGCTAGGGGCGCTCGGAACTTAGGAGTGTGGCGAGAGTTCCCCTTTTCTAGTAGGTGTGAACCGCTTCAAGGATGGCAACTAGGAGAACTGGTATAGAGAATTGGGCTAGCTGAACCGTGATTTGCTAGGTCCCTCGCCGGCTCCCGTAATCCCAGCTAGGGTACACTGGTCCTATTTCTTCCAGGCTCTTCACCTGCCCAGCTCTTCGCAGGTAGATTCACGTTTCCTGGGACTCTAGAGGGAGCTTTTCCTCGGTGCTCTGTCAGGGGCTGCAGAACTTGGGCGGCGATGGGTGCGTTACGGGCAGTCTGAGCCGGCGCGGTGGCTGAGTCCGTTCGCTTCAACCAACCTGGCTCTTCTGTTGAAAAAAGCTGGTGGATTTTAGTTGAGAAAGCCTTAGCATTCCCTCACAGTTAAAGGTAATTTCACCAGCTCCTCCTTGGATCCCATCCCTCAGTGCAGGTTTCAGACCTTAAGACCAGATCTCGGGGTCTCTTCAGACTGCTCGCTGCCTTTCCTTCTATTCATGAAGAAGTGCCACCTTTTTCTGTGCTTCTTGCTTCCCTTCCCTAAGGGTAGAAGAGCAACTAAACAGCTTCATAGGAACACTGTAAATGAGTGATTTATTCAAAAAACAAAGGCAGTCAGAAAGTTTGAGTGTGGGAAGGGGTGGTTGGGAGATACTGATCAAAAGGTACAAAGTTTCAGTTAAGACAGAATGAATGAATTCTGGAGATCCCCTTGTATACCACGCTAACTGTAGTTTATAGTAATGTATATTCTGTACTTGAAAATTGCTAACAGGGTAGATCTTAAGTATTCTCACCATCCAAGAAAATATATATATATGTGTGTGTGTGTGTGTGTGTGTATATATATATATATAGTTGACCATGGGTCATGTCCCAGACCTGGCCACTTCAAACACGCTGGGCACATGTGCCTGCACGCCCAAGATCCCCAGAGGGGATTGCAGCATGGTCATCCACTCTGGGGGATGATTTCTGGCTTTCTGTCTCCAGGAGTGCACATGCTCTATAGCAAAAATCTCTTAAAAATATATGTTTGATTTAATCATTCACAGTATGTACATGTATCAAAACATTGGAAGCATATACAATTTCTACTTGTCAGCTGTACCTTAATAAAACTGGATCATTTAATGGACAATATTTACCCCTAAAAGGGAAATGCTGGATTCCATTTCCAGTTACTAATATGATAGGCTGTCAAGGCCTTAACTTCTCCAGGCCTGGCTCTCTTAAGTAAAATCATACTTGGCCCTAGGTTAGGTATGTAAGTCACATAAGCATTTCAGTGCTGGGAGAAATGTAGAAATACACCTCCTGAGTATTAACTTATGTCTTTCCCATCATATGTATCTTTCCTTCATGAATTCAAAAGAATTTAATTTTGTAGTCCCTAGCCTATCAGGTGTTTGGCACTTATAAAACTGAGGAGAAATTCCAAGAAGTGGGGCCAGCAGATGGTGTGGTGGTTAAGGTACTGGACTTCCACATGGGTAACCATGGTTCAAGTCCTGCACATGGCAACTTGCTTTTTTTTTTTTATGTATTTATTAATTCACTTTACACCATCACAACACACAAATGAATTTTCCATCCAAAATACACTGTGCATTGGCTCAATCAAGTACATCCACATATATGTTCTCAGCAAATAATTTTCCAATTCTTACGTCCTGCATACCTTGCCCTTTGTCTTGCCATCCCTGATTCCCCATCCCCCACCCTCTGCTATGTCCCACCTTCTCCCCCCTTTTTCCCTGGCATCCATGGTTGCCCTCCATACCTTCCTCCTTTCTTTTTTCTTTTTTACCATG